TACCATAAAATTTCATATTCCATCTCACATTTTCTATAAGAATATTTCAATAATATCAAGTCAAGATATTCCTTCAATAATCAAGATAAGATATGGTCAATATTTCCTAATCAATATTTGACCATATGGTACAAGATAGAGTTACCAGATTCAATAAACTTGTACTCAAAGTAATCAAGAAGAGGCATCTAAGGGTGGGGCGTGCCGCCCTTTTGTGGCACATATGGGCCCCCACCCACATACCACATGGAGGGCTCATATGCACTTTCGGCCCCCGTGGAATTTTATAAAAAAATTTAAAAATTAAATAAAATGAATTAATATATATTTGAATTTTTACAACTTTGTAAAATCAATAACTGTATTTTTATAAGTCCAAAAATCATAAATAAAATATTGAGAGGTTCATAAAAATTCAAATAATAAAACTAAAATGATTTTAATAATAAAATAAACATAATTAAATTAATATGATAGGAAAATGGTCCATATGGTTTTAGGAATTCAATCTATAATAATGGGGTACTCCACCTTCAACTGTGGACTACATACCACACTAGCTTTATCGAACTGACCCAGTGTTTCCCATCCCACAGTCAAAGCAAGGGTTCATTAGCGGGTCACCAAAGTCAGGTCGTTGAATCAAGGGGTCGCAATCCCAGTCCGTAGATTACAGGTCCTCCCCTAGAGACGAGTCAAGGTTACCACGATTTGATGCGACCACGGCTCTATGGCACATAGGGGTATCTCTCGCACATACATATGCTTCACCGAAAGGTGGATATCTGACTTTCCCAAACGATTTATCAATATGCAAGTCATGTGATGGAACAAGGATGAGGTTTTGGCCCCCCGTCTCAGTAGGCCTACCATCACACATAAGGGTCACACAGTCCCTTGGCACACTCATCTAGGTATAAGCTTCGACCAGTAAATTCTTTATCCCCAGGTACCTTGGGTTTTTAATACTAACTGGCCTAAATCGATAAGCACAGTCCAATATAAGCAAATATTATTTGCTTAGTATGGTCCTCGAGGGACCACACTCCCACTGAGTTTATATTTCACTATAATAAAAGTATTTCAATATGCACTTATAAGGCCTTTAAAGGCCACATAAACCGAACAATATTTAGCATATATAAAATATTATCAATAAATATTTTTCTTCATGGATCAAGTATACTGTGTCCTTATGGGTGCACTCACTTTAGAAAATATACTTTTATATCTTTCATCCTCTATAACATGGAGTCATTAAATGAATATAAAAATTCAATTTTTATTCTTTCAAAATAGCCAATACCTTTATTGTAAAAGACAATACTCTTTTTATTTTAATAATATACAAGTAGATAATATTTTTAATTTTTTCTGATAAAATTTGGAGGTGTGCTTTAAGTGGATAGTTTAAGGTTGCAACCTTATAGAAACCACACCTTACAAGTACATAATGTTTTTTAAAATTTTGCATTCTATTATTATTATCAAATATACAAGTATATAGTATTTTCTTTAATTTTTCATTCGATTGTTATTATCAAATTGATTCATTATTAATTTTTACATAATAATGAAAATTATGAATATACCTTATAATTACAAATTTTATGCAATACAATTAAGACACATTGTTATATCTATTATACTTTTGAAATTCAATCTTTTACTTAAAAGATAAAATAAATTAAAATCTATAATTTGGTATTAAAAATTATACTTTCACTTTGACAAAATATTTAACAAATTTAAAATAAAACAACATATTTGATTAAAAAATTATACACTCATGTTATAAATTTTACATTCAAGCCCTTTCCCACTATTTGATTTCAAACAATAAATAGTTCACACTTTAGTGGCATACTACATAAGTTCTTTATTCCATATAATATGCAAAGGCCATAAGTGAGAAAATGAGAATCTAGGGGTGGCAATGGGTCGGGTATGAGTCCAGTTCGGTCGGACCCGAAATACCGCTTATGGACCCATACCAAACGGGTCCAAAGAATCTAGACTTGTACCAGTACCCGGGATATGTATTAAGACCTGGGACCCGGACCCGTATCTGAGACAAAAATTAGTAGATCCCCTTTTAATTCTATAAAATTCTTCCAAATTTTATGTTTAATGCATAATTATGGTAAAATCCCCTAAATTTCCTTAGTGCAGCTTCTTTAACAAAAGAGAA